ATTTACTCCACTGGAAACGAATGTAAACATTGATCAGATTACTGTATTGGTGGACTAGCCGATCAACTGATCAGCACAACAAAACGTGTTTGTCGTAAGGCTTTTGTTAATCGAAGTTTTGTTCATTTATCAAACTGAAAATCCTTATGGGAACTAATTCGTTAACCAAAATTTCGTTAATTGGACCGTTCGATGACCGAGGGACCACTGTATATACAGTACAGTATATACAGTGGTCCCTCGATTAACGAATGGTTCAATTAACGAAAGTCTTAGGAGAAACACGCTTTGTTGTGCGCATCAGCCAATCAGCTGATCGGCTAGTCCACTTATACAGTAATCGGATCTATGTTTACATTCGTTTCCAGTGGAGTTAATATCAAGCTACTGTCCTGGCCACGTGGACGCACACCTGCCCAACCGCATCCAGCCCATACGAGGACGAATTGATTGCTACAAGAACAGCCCAGTCCCAACAATTATATCATATTTGTATCACTTATGTTAACTGTATATTATTTGTAAATCAAGAGACCCATTCCCCAATTATGTAATTGTATATTTACAGCCTTTCCGGCTGCCATGCTCTTTCAATAAACCGCTAATTATTATTATTATTATTACACAAACACACACACACACATACAGGCATCCCCCACGTTACGGAAGCCCGGTTTACGGAATTTCGCTCTTACGGAATTTGTAAATTATGACCAATAATTTCACGTTACGGCCCGTAAATCCGCCCTTACGGAAATTGAGGTAAATTTTAAACACAAGGCCTCACACATGCCATTCAGACTAACAGACTTGACAAGTTTTACCAACCATAAAGACAGTTGAAGCTTTAAACATCACTCACAATGGATCTTGAATATTCCAACTGTAATCAGACATACCTAAGTTGCCTCAACAATTGCAACCCCCTTCCGTAACACGGGGGATGCCTGTATATATACTGTACTATATATATATACACACACAAGTAACTCGCGTTTTACGCACGTTTGATTTAAGCGTTTTGGGAATAACGCGATTGTTCAATTAATACCAAAAGCTAATTTACGGGCACCTATAAAGTGGTCCCTCGGATAATGTATACAATTCGTTCCAGAAGGTCGTTTGTTAACCGAAAATTTCATTAACCGAAACCATTTGTTTCAATGGGATTTTGGGTAATTGGTTGCAGCTCACTTAAAATTACATACAAACTAAAAAAACAAAAAATGCAGTAAAGTACACTTACTTTGAGGTGTGTACAGTCAGTTCTGCTATAACGCGATAGTTGTGTTCTTGTAAAACATCGTGATATAGAAATTCGCGCAATAGAAATAACAGGGCTTATGGAGAAAATAGGGTTAGGTGCAGATTACTCAAAATCGAAAAAAAATTTGTAGTTAGCCTAACACAAAGGATAGAACAGTCTAAATAAATGTTACATTCATATCTAATAATGAAATCATACAGTAAATGTAGCATTTTACCTTGAAAAAATATGAATATAACTTGATAGGGGAGAAGGGTGATTTTGAGGTTGATAACATCGAGCTTCTCTTCAATAGTTTCTTTTACGATCATCACCGGGAATGCGATCACCAGAACGCTTCTTGGAGATATTCTTCTTTACCATATTCACAGTTAATACCACAAAATTGGAGAAATAGTAAGCAAAAATCGCGTTACAGGAAACAAGCGTTCGCGTTTTACAAATATCATTCCTCTATTCATAAATCGCATTAGAGCCAATTCGCGTTGTCAAAACACGCGTTATAGCAGAACTCACTGTATGTAGAAGGTTCCTGGTTGATGATGATGATGGGAATTAAAAGTGGGGGTGGAGGAGAAGGGAGAAGAGAAGGAAGTGGGGGCGGAAGAGAAATCACCCATAAAATTTTAAGTTCACTAGGTGTAATTCAAGATTATTTTCTTTAAATCAACACTGCACTGCACAATATACGTATAGTCAATATGTTAAATAAATTTTAGAATGACCAATAATTGTACTGTAAAAACGTAAAAATACTCTGTGTTCAAGAGACCCACAAGCAAGATGTTTCCTCCACTGAACAGAGACACAAACTGAGGCCTTGGTGGTTGAGTGAAGTGGCTGATGAGCACACCAAAAACTAGTTCCCTGTACTGCAATTATGTTAATTTATTTAAGTGTTAAAATGACTAATAATTTTAATATAAAACTTGCAAAATTATTGAATAGTACAACCATCTTGATATTTACTCCAATTTTAACGAATGTAAGCCCCAGAACCGATTTCTGTATTGGCGGACTAATCTTCCAGCTGGTGAGCAAGCCAAAGCATGTCAAAACATTTTCGTAAAAATTTTGTTAACCAAATTTTTGTTCGTTAACCGAAATGAAGATTCTAATGGAAGGTAATTCGTTAACCAAGGGACCACTGTATTTTACATAATGCGCTCAAGACAGTTTAAATTTGCCGCGCGTATTCGCATGGTCGCCTGGCAGTGGAGTCACGTGTAATGCCTGGTGAGGTGCTTGTAAGTTATTACTATAATGTCAGAGTCATATCAACATCAATGATTTCAATATTATTATTATTAATAATAATAATTATTATAATAATGTAATAATAAAGATTATTACTACTAATGATGAAGATAATGATGATAATGAAGTATTTTGTACAACAACTGTGACGACGTCCAGCAAGTTTCCCGCGTATCACTTTCTCAGTTCAAACCAGCACTACTTTTACTCTGTGCTCTCATTAACATTGTGTATTTATCACGTACCTTTTTAGTGTGAAACTGTTTTCCCCATTGAGCATGTCTGGAAAATGTCTATCTGCCTTCTCTGGGGCGCCTGAAGCTAAAAAGGCACGAAAAACAATCACAATGGACGTGAAATTAAATGTGATCATCCGCCTTCAGAGAGGAGTGTGTGTGTCGGGGGTTGGCTGCATGAATGGTTTAAGTGAGAGCACTGTTTGTACCCTGTGCAGTATATGATGGTTCCCCTAACCTGTACCATTTACATGTATTCTTATGGGAAAATTATGTTTAATTTACGCATTTTTTAATTAAGCGGTGGTTTTCAAGAATGTAACCCCTCGTAAAACGATAGGTGGGTGTATACATATATATTTGAAGGAAAGATATTGGTCATCACCGACCAACAGGGGGAGTCTTACCGCATCCCATGAAACATGTGATGTGGTAATTAGAGAGGGAGAAAGAGAGAGATAGAAAGAAAGGGGAAGAGAGAGGAAAGAAGGATGGGTGTCGTGTCAGCGGCCAGTACATTAGCGAGCAGATGTGTGTTTTGAACCATACTCAGGATCATGTGTGGGCAGTGTGTGGGTTACTGTGTAGCAGGAAGGAAGTCTAGTTCTGTGTACCGGAGACAACTTTTAACCAATATCAAACATCAGTGCTTTAGTGTGACAGCTGGTGACGGTGAAATTTACAGTGACCAGTGCAGTGATAACTCACTAACGATTGTCTGCAGTCTGTACCCACACACATGGCTCAATCTCAGGCCGTTCACTCGTGAGATTTTGGTAATTGTTGTTGTATGTAGGATTAAGCTAATTTACGAGATTAATTACTGTAATGTTGTGGGACGTGTATTTCCAGGTATGACCGAATAAAAACTGTCGTGTGATACTGGACGGCTTTGAATAATTCTCCTATCAACCCAGTCACGCCGTGTGCGATTAAAGTGACCATGAATAAAAAGAGGAAGCAGATGACCAACTGGGTCAGAGGAAGGGAGCCAAGTGAGCAGCCATATGGTTACACCCCGCACTATGACTCGGTTCAAACTACCCATGAGCAACACCTGCTTCAGATACAGAGAAGAAACCCAACACTGAACAGCACAGTTCCAACAATCATTGGACTGGAATACAAACCCCTTACAATAACAATGACACCAGCAGACCCTACGTTCACTGATTCCCAAGCAACGCTTATCTCCACATGCCTCGCCACCTCCCCTCCCTCACTCAGCCAGCTAATGCGTGTGTAAAGAAATGTTTATTCCCTTTATGTGTTTGCTCTTATGACAATTATTTCTTTAACTTTTTTTTCACAATATGTATGTAGGATGGTGTGTGTCTGTAACTAAGTAAAAATAAATGAAGAAAGTTACTTATATATACCCAAAAATATGAGTTAAATAATAACCATAACACCTCACAGCATGGCCCAGTAGCCTGGTGGTTGCAATAATGAGTCTAACCTAGCTACAATGCCATGATCAATCAATATTAAGCACTATTTTCTCAGTAAACACTAATAATATCAGTAAATCCAGTGAAATAGACAGAGAGAGTGGAGTTACAATTGCATAAGACACTCAACTAGCAGTCACTCACTCCCCTTACCCGTTCCCGTTGCCAGGCATACGTATGAGAGAAATACATACAGTGGGGTATGCTATAACGAACGGATCCTACTACGAATATTCCTATAACGAACGGTTTTACCTATAAAATTGAGAATGCTATAACGAACGCAACTCCTACAACGAACGCGGATGAATACCGGACTATTTCGCCTGGCGCATGAATATTGTTGTACCGCGACCCACAACAAGAGCGTCAGGCGCCATCTTTGTCTCATTGTGTAGCCAGTGCACCACTGTTATTGTTGAAATTTCGTCTTTTGATGTGGAAATTCGCGTTATTTGTATAACTATTTTGTTATACAAGTATACAATTGTAACAATGAGTCATCCAAAGCGAGTGAGAAAGCTAATAACCCTTGAAACTAAGAAAGAAATTATAAAGAAACGTGAGAATGGAAGAAGCATTGCGAAACTTAGTGATGAATATGGGATGGCTAAATCGACTATATGTACGATTTTGAAGAATAAAGAGGAGTTAAAAACTGTGCAAGTGGCTAAGGGAATCTTTAGACTTAGCAAAGCAAAGTGTAATGTGATTGAAGAGATGGAAAATTTACTCTTAGTGTGGATAAAGGAGAAAGAAATGGCAGGTGGTAACATTAGTGAAGCTATAATTTGTGAGAAGGCCAGACAATTGTTTGAGGACCTTAAAGCCAAGACTCCCAGTGGAAGTGATAGTGATGTGCCAGTGTTTAGGGGTACCTGCATGCTGAATAACACTAAGGTAAGATAAAGTACCGTATTTTTTACATTTTCCACAGAATTTTTTCAGTGTTAGGTGGTTGTATTTGGGGGCCTGGAACGGATTAATCCTATAACGAACGAATGCTATAACGAACGAGGTTCTGGAACCAATTACGTTCGTTATAGCATACCCCACTGTATCTTATAGTCCAATTTGAAAATGGTGATGGGAATAGTGATAAAAAAAATTTATAAACCATGCATTTTCCTATGATAACATAATTATTAACATTGTATCATTACTAGAGCGAATGAATTAGCCCTTAGGCCCCAGGTGACGTTCCAGAACGTCCGACCAGCGCGCCCCGGGTGATGTTCCAGAATGTCCGCCTTTTCCCGCAACTTTTTTTTTATTATTATTTTTGGAAAAGTTGATTTTTTCTTGATTTATCCCCACAGGGGTGGTCCTGCCAGCAGCACCCTAACCCGGGGCTTAAGGGTTAATATTCCCACAAACAACAATTGATAACTTTGTTATAAAAAAATGGATTAACACTCACCATTCCATGCTGACTGTTTGTGTAGAGCCCATTCCTCTCTCCCCTGCCACTGATGAATATCATGATGAAAATAATGAATATGATGAATGATGATGATGATGATGAAGGCAGGAGAGTTACAAGAGCTCCTCATTTGCCCTGGAAGAGGAGGCAGAGGAGAGTGGAGGGAGGTCACACCTGGGGACGGCAGGACAAGGGTCGTCCATGTTGGAATCAGAGTCAGGGGGAGGAGGTGCACGAACAGGAGGCCGAGGCTCTCTTGCAGGTGTAAAAGGTGTAGGACTTGGAGTGGACGAAGGCAGGAAGGAAGAACATAGTGATTGAAGGCTGGGCATCCTGGAACTTGAGTTCCTTCATTATTTCCTTGTAAGGAAGTAAGAACTTCTCCATCTCTCTTGAAGTTGACTGATTTCTCGATAGAGGGATTGATGTAAAAAAACATGTCTATGAGTGCCTTACTAGCCAGCAAGCACCTGTTGAGGCTAGTGACGGTTAAGGTGGGCACCTCCTCTACTTTACCTTCTTTTTCTTCTTCGTCCTCATCCTCATGACGGTGCTCCTCGACAAGCTCGACCAGCTCTCCCTCAGTCAGCTCTTCCCCAACATGGCCCAGGAGCTCCTCTTGCACCCCTTCCTCCTGAAGGTCGTCTAACCCTCACCTCCCACTTGACAAGCAAGCTGGAAGATGTGCTGCACATCCTGGTCTACTGTGGGGAAGCCAACAAAGTTGTCCACCACTTCTGGCCACAAGGCCCTCCAGCAGGAGTTAACACAGAGAACTGTCAGGTCACCATGGCACTGCTTGATGAAGGAAATGCAGTCTGCAAAGGAGAACTTCTTCCACATTTCCCGCACTGACTCAGCACCAGCCTGTGTGTCGTCGTACAAGGCCTGCCATATGCTGCTGAAGGTGCAGGTCATATACAGTATACGAACTCTCGATTTAATGGAATCCGATATAACGAACTCTCAATTTAGCGGAAGGAATTGTTTCCGTTATTTTTCGCTTGATTTAGAGAACTAGTTCACTAAATCAAGATTAATTCCATTAATACGCTCACACCTCAGACACATATGTGCATAGAAACATTATTCATGGCTTACCTTAACCCTTAAGCCCCAGGTTAGGGTGCTTCTGGCAATCCCCCCCCCCTGCGGGGTTAAATCTATAAAAAAAAATAAACTTTTCCAAAAATAATTAATAAAAAAAAAAAGTGGGAAAATGGGCGGACGTTCTGGAACATCACTCAGGGCGCGCTAGTCTGATGTTCTGGAATGTCACCCAGGGCCTAAGGGTTAAACTAGGAGGTTCAGTGTTTGTTTTCAATTTTTTCTATAATTTCCAAAGTTTTTCCAATTGATAGCTACACTCTTTTGACATTCTCCCCACACCACTTCCTTTCTGAGACTTCTGAGAGACTTTCGGCATGATATCTAACCCTTAAAGGTCTGACAAATTTTGGGAAGTCTCCCTTCAGAAACTGAATAGTAGGCTAAAAAATTAAAATCATAAAATTAATGTTCTAGTCTTATGAAATGTTAAGACACATGTTAGTCAATAGGAAATAACATAATTATTACTGTACTCACCACCTACAGTTATTAGCCAGTCGGAGATGTCAGCGAGACACCTTACCTCACCACCCCTCAAGCAGTTATTATACATCTGGGAGTGAATGGTGATGAACTACCAACTCACTCCATACTCTTACAACTTCACAACACCTTCACATGGTTGCTTATTATTACACTATATACAGTACATTCACCACTCTGTAGCTTGGAGTGGCAGGGCTTGGGAGCTGGAGTTCTAAGTGGGTAATCCCAAGAGGTAGACGCATGACCTTCCTCCATGGTGACAACTGTTGTACTGATTATTTGCTTAAGATGTGGTCAAGGAGAAGTATGGGGGAGCGGGGATGAGCTATTGCCACAATAATAGTCACGGTACTCAAGCAGGAAAATTAATAAAATGAAGCGCTAGATGATGACATCAGACCCTTACTACGCCAGGCGCTCTGGGATGACGTCAGACCTTTAGGGGCTGAGCACAGTAGTTAGTTGACAGAGAGGTAGATCGAGGGGTAGCAGTGAACAACAGACGCGGTGGCGGTAAGACACAGACTGAGCAGATGAAAACAAACCCCACGCGCCAAGCAGCGGAATTTAATGGGATCACGCTCAATTTAGTGAATAAGTTCGCTTAATTGAGTGAAAATAAAGGAAATTCGATTTAGCGGAAAGGGGTGGCTTGAATTAGTTCGTTAAATCAAGAAAATACTGTACTTGGCCTTGAAGACAGCGATGACTCCCTGGTCAAGTGGTTGGAGCAATGATGTTGTGTTCTTGGGTAGAAACATCACCTCGACATTTTTGTTGGCAACCTTGAGGGCCTTGTGGTGGCCAGGGCAGTTGTCAATCATGAGAAGAACCTTAAACTCCAGGCCTTTATCCTGCAGGTAATCCTTGACCTCCCTCACAAAACAATTTTGAAACCAGTCAGTGCACAAAGCTACGGTCATCCAGGCTTTCTTGTTGTGGTGGTAGAAGACTGGGAGGAGGTGCATGTCTTTGTTCTTGGGACACGCGGACGCTTGGCATGGTACAGCAGCAGGAGCTTGATCATGTGTCCCGCAGCTTTGCCACATAGCAGGAGACACGCACGATCTTTGGCCACCTTGAAGCCTGGTGCACTCCTTTCCTCCCTAGAAATGAATGTCGTGGCTGGCATCTTCTTCCACCACAAGCCAGTTTTGTCAGCATTGAAAACCCGCTTCGGCTTGTAGTCCTTCTCCTGGATTATCTCAGCAAAGATTGCCTGATACAGTCGGGTCAGGATATATCGCGAGATAGGGGCCAAGGATGTTAGTTATATAGTAAATTGCAACATATAATTACATATAATCAATGGGGAAAATAGGGTTAGGTTCTGGAGGCCAACAAAATTGTCTAAACTTGACATAAAATGGCACAGTCTAAAGTTAGCAGAATATAAATTGCATTGCTGGAATCCTTGCAAGACAACGAATAATTTAAATATAGACATCATATATTTTGCACAAGAGATAAAAATTTTAGTCCTTTGAACGAAAATGTACTAAATTATTATTAAAATTTTTGTCTATTGCAAACTATAGCTTGTTTATATTCAAATTAATCACTATCTTACAAGAATTCCAGTAATGTTAATTATATTCTCTTAAGTCAATTCATTGACATTTTATAAGAGAAAAACATAAACTCCCCCTATATGACAGATAAATAAATACCATTAGGTAACCTCGGCAAGGGTCTGGCGCCAGCTGTCATAATACATCACCTCCACTTCCTGCTAGATTGAAAGTGGTTTTAGGCTTAAAGATTTTATCTTATAAAATGTCATAGACTAAAATTAGCAGAATATAAATTGCATTGCTGGAATCCTTACAAGACAGCAAATAATTTGAATATAGACATCATATATTTTTCACAAGAGATAAAATTTGTAGTCTTTTAAAGTACATTTACTGTAGGTACTGTACAGTTTTCAACTTGTATTTCTGGGGCGATTTAGGGGGTTTTTAGGAGTGTTTCTGACTTTATACGGTTTTTGGCTTTATGTGAGGTCCAAGGAACATAACCCCACGAACGTTGTGAGTCTACTGTAAATAAATTTATCGCTATATACAGGTGGTCCCCGACTTACGACGGGGTTAGGGACCCAAATCCAGGTCGTAAGTCCGATTGGTCGTAAGTTCGACATAGATAAAAAAAAATTGAAAAAAATAAAATAAAATAAATAAATAAAAAATCTACAACGAAATACAGTACAGTAAAAGTATTAAATAATGAGGAATGGATACAGTACAGTGAAAGTAATAATTAATGAGGAATGGATACAGTGTGACTGAGCACTTACCTTTAATGTAATCAGCTGAATGCACACAGGGCCCCCATAATTTTCTAATTATACATGGAGACTACGTTAACTAGAAGAAGCAGAGGAGGAGACAGGGCTGGGTGGTTCATCAATGTCGCTTTCTTCAGACAGGTTTATGGACTGTGGAAACTTGCTGGTTGAAGGTATTGGATCATCTTGAAGGAGTCAAGAGGCAGCACTGGTTGGGCATGAGGAGACAGCACTGGGGTACTTCTTAAAATAGATGTCCAATTTAGACTGAACAGTTTGTTTTTTCTTTTCATGATAAATTTCTCTGTAGCAAGCAAGTGTATCTTGGATCATTCTGTCAACTTTGGCATAACGCTCATAATTTTGATCCATGCCATCAAATATTTGCATTCCTATATTAATTGTAGCAAATGCCTCTGCCATTTGTTTCACTGAAAACTTTTTGGGGGGTGCAGGTTCATCTTCTACATTTTGTCTCTCTTCTTCCTCTGCAATTTTCTGTGCATCTAGTTCAATAAGATCCTCGTTACTGTGCTCTTCTGCTACACTTTCAACCAACTGTTCAACATCTTCATTATCAATTTCTAACTGAAGCTCTTTACCTAACTCCACTATCTTGTTACTAATATCCGAAATAACTTCATTTTCATTAAATCCTTTGAAACTGTTCACATATCTTTTTAGGATTTTCTTCCATATTCCATTCATGCAATGTTTTGCAACCTGATCCCATGCTGCACTAATGTTCTTTATACATGACAAAACGTTGTACTCCTTCCAAAACTCTCTGAGCGTTTTCTCACCTTCAGTAGCAGCAACAACCTGAGCGAAGGTCGTACGTAAATAATAAGCTTTAAAGGCAGCAATAGCACCTTGATCCATGGGTTGGATGACAGAGGTAGTGTTAGGTGGAATGTACACTACCTTAACATCAGGGTGCATGTCGTCCAGGTGTGGTAGGTGTCCCGGAGCATTATCCAAAATCAGCAAAATCTTGAATGGAATCTGTTGTTGCAGACAATACTCCTTGGCTCGTGGAATGAAACAGGTCATGAACCAATCCTCAAATAGTACTAGGGTCATCCAGGCTTTCTTATTACTGCAATAAAACACTGGCAGTGTGTGCTTGCTGACATGTTTAAAAGCCCTAGGGTTCTCTGAATGATAGATCATGAAGGGCTTTAGCTTGAAACCAGCAACATTCCCCCCCAACAGAAATGTAATTCTGTCCTTGAATGCCTTGAATCCTGGCATTGTTTTCGCCTCTTTGTGGATGTATGTCCGCTCAGGCAAGCGCTTCCACAATAATCCAGTCTCATCCACATTGAATATTTGCTCAGGCAAATAATTCCCTTCCACAATCACTTCATCTAACTCCTCCTTAAAAGCTTCGGCAGCACCAATATCGGCACTAGTTGCCTCTCCACTCACCTTAACATTGTGTAGACTGTAGCGTTTTGTAAATCTATCAAACCACCCATGACTTCCTGTAAAGGTTTGATCACATTCATCTCCTGCCTGCTCCTTCAGGCTTTGGAACAGGTTTCTTGCTTTAGCCTGTATGGTTAGAAGGCTTAAGGGTACACACTTTTGTATCTGGTCTTCTATCCATATCACCAATAATTTTTCCATATCGTGAATAGGACCTTGTCTTTTCTTCGAAATTATAGTTCCCTTTATAGGTGTTGTTCCTTTCACTACATCATGAATACATTCCTTGTCCTTCAGAATAGTGGATATGGTCGAGTGCGAGAAACCTAGGTCGCGTGAGATTGTTGCTACAGTTTTTCCATTCTCATGCTGCATTATTATCTTCATTTTCTTCTCAAAAGTAATTGCCTGTCTCCTTTTCTTTGGAGCACCACCAGCACTCTCACTTGTACGCTTTCCAGTCATTATAAAGTCAATTAAATACGATAATTACGAAAGTTCACAGCGCGATCATTATAGGATACTATAGCCAAACACCAACTAAGCACTGTACTGAGTGAGTGTACCCACGCGGTGACCCAAGCCACGCCACACTCTCGCCTGGGACGGAAACGTTTCGGTATAGTAAATGTGCGCGTCATTTGAAAATATTTTTGGTCACGACTGCTGCGGTCGTATGTCCCGACGGTCATAAGGTCAGAGCAGAACGTAAGTACTGATGGACGTAAGTTGAAGCGGCTGTAAGTCGGGGACTACCTGTATTGGAAAATGTCGATAATTTTGGTTGCCGTTATATAAATTTTTTTTTATATTAAGTCGATATATACAGTCAACCCTCGCTTTACGCGGTCCCACTTTACGCATTTCCACGTTTATGCGGTACCCTGCCGAAACCGGAATGCTCACTTTCCGCGGTGTGTGTACCCTTTTACGCGGAGAGCGGCGTGAGCTGGGTGCGCACAAGGTCGCCCAGTCATCAAAACATTACCGAGTTCTTCACCCGCCACCCACCACAGCCGGCCCAAGTCAGTGATAATGATAGTGAGGATATGGACTTATATGGACTTTGAGGGGTTTGACAAAAAGGCCCTGCAAGCCTCTGTGGTGGATAGTAATACAATTGATACAAGTGATACAGGTGAGGGACAATAATCTGCCCTCTGCATCGGAACCAACCCCCCATCCCCGTGTGCCCAGCCATCTTTTCTACTAATGTAAGTGTTAAAAAACCTAATATTATTGATATTTCTCTAAATTATTAATTGTGTGTGCATACCATCATAAAATTAAGAAGTTATTTTTATTACAACGTAGGTATTGTGTCTGAAAAAGTGGAGTTTGGGGGTCGGCCCGGTCTCTATTTCAATTAATCACATATGTTATGTTGTTCACTTTACGCGTTTCTCACTTTACACGGGCCGCCGTGGGTTGAATTAACCCCGTAAAGTGAGGGTTCACTGTATCCTGACCCTACTGTACTCCCTTGCTGCTACATCGTCCGCCGAGGCTGAGTCACCAGTGATCCTCAAGTTGAGCAGGTTGTAGCGCCTCTTGAAGTTCTCAAACCATCCCTTACTGGCATTAAACCTTTCTTCGTGGTATCACCAGAACCACCAGCACTAGCACCACCTTCACCACCTTCTTCAGCATGGAATCAGTCATACAGAACTTTGGCTTTATCACGGATAAACTTTTGGCTGAGAGGGATGTGGCAGCGGTTAAAGTCTTTAATCAAGATGTTAAGGGCTTTCTCCATCTTCACCATAGCTGCATCCCTCACATTAATGGCTACCTTGGCAGAAGAGGGGGCACTTAGAGCAACGGCATTACGAATCTCTCTCTTTCTTCTTGATGTAGCAGACAGTTGACTCACTGATGCCATACTCCTGGCCATATATGGCAAAGATTTGGCCACTCCTAAGTTTGTCCAGCAGTTGTATCTTCTCCACGAGGGGCATGACCTTCCTTTCTTTCTTTACTTGTTTGGGCGCCTTCTTGCAGCTGGATAAAGATGGTTGAGGGCATTCGAGAGCCATCACAAGCACAAAGTGCACAGGTGTTAAGAGAGCAGAGTAGCACACGCACGAGACGGACAGGTGTTTATCCCGGACTGAGGAGGGGTGAGCTCATGTGGGCCAACCTCCCGGGAACATGCCGCCAACTTAAATATTACCCACAGACCTTCTTGGGTACATCCAGGGTGTCATCCGCAAATAATCGAGGGTCACAAATTAAAAATCTGCGAATTGTAAAGGCAGGCTGTATACAATATTACAGTAATTACTAGACGTCCACTCACCATCTTTTCTTGTGTTGGTGGTGGATCGG